AGGGGAAAAAACAACTGATGCCACCAAATGCTGTTTTTCCCCATGGCAGGGAGAAAAAAGATCCAAACTTGATCATGTCAAAGCATCTGCTTCAACTCTGACATGAATTTCAAGGCCATTTGCAGCTGCCCGGGCTCTTCAGCCCTTTCTTTCCCCAGGATGTCCAGGATCAAAGACTCCTGCTGCGAAGGCCGTGCCATCGGAAGCTTCTCAGCTGGAAGGTCATGAATGGAACTGCCAGGCTGTAGGAAGGCATAGAGACACCTGCGAGGAGAAAATCAGGAAACCATGCTTCAACAGCTGTCCTCTAATATTCCCCTCAAACCAACTCCGGAACTCACAGCTACTCTCTAGACCTTACTAAGCCTTACTAGGTAAATAAACCATCTATAAAATTGCCATTTTCCATGTGCCATCCCATTTCATGGGATAACCGAACATCATGGGTTTTTTTCAAGCCCTATGGCTCTATGGATGACCATCTCCGGCTGTATCCACAACCAAGTGACACTGACCGCCCCAGCACCACACGATCCAAATGCTGTAGCTCAATGGCTTCCAGTTCCTGCAGGCGACGGCCGTTCACCTGGCACCAGCCGAAATGATCAACGAAATCCCCATGATATCCCCATATGTGTTGGTTAAATCACCATTATTGCTGCTTAACAAAGAAAAACAAAACAATATGTAGGCAAACTAGATTCTAAATCAAAATGGATATAAAAATGAGATGAACCCAGTCCACGATCATAATGAACACCTTGGAACAATGGGAACCTAAAGTGAACAAATACAGTGTATCCACATGGTTCCCTCTTCCACCATGGTGACTGAGTAGAATTTTCCTTAGGAGAAAGGGATCAGTCTTGGTATTTTAAAAATTAAGCTGGTGGCTTCACCCCAGCGTTGCTAAAGATTATTCTATCGGAAAACCTCAGGATTTGAACAGCATTGATCCATCAACCATCCAAAAGCCACCAAACATCCATGTTGTTCAACTTGCGGCTGCCTTTAACCCCAAAAAAAGCACATCGATCAACATCCCCCCCAAAAGAAAGATCCGATTTCATTTGAAATGGCACCTCAATGCAGGCCACCAGTGAACTCTTCAGTGGCGGCTGCCATTCCTCGTCGTCCTCGCTGTTCTCATCCTCGCTGCTGGATCGCTCGCTGGGCTCCGCCGCAGCAGCAGGGCGAAGGAAGAGGCGTCCCGTGGCGTCGCGCTGGATGTAGCAGGTTACCTGGGAAGCACTGGGGGTCTAGAAACATTGCTGGGAAACGTCCCCCTTTCCCGAAAACTGAGTTTGGGGATTTCCCATGTTTGATTACTGGAGGGTACATGATAGGTTTTCCTGAGGATGTCGTGGAGGATAGAAAACTGCATCATTTCGAGGTTGGAAAATGTTGCACAAACGTTTTGGGGTTTAACCCCAGAACGGCGGTCGAACCAAACAAAACAGGTTAGCGTGGGGTCTCACGTGCTTTTTAGACAAAAAATGGGAGGTCTCAACTGGTGACATTGACCAACATATATGTTAGCCGACAAGAATGACAGCTTCAACTTGAACATGTTTTGGCCGTTTCAACAAAAAATGGTGTCAACTGTGATAAAAGCCTTCAAGCCATTTGGAAAACATATGCCTGGTAAGTTTGGGTGTAAGTCAACCCAACACTAGTGGCATTCTCATCAGCAATGCCCGGTATATCATATCATATCATATATCTAGTCTATATATATGTGTGTGTGTGCCTATATATTACATAAAATATTATATATATATATGCAGTATTTTGGGGCTTGCGTTTAGGGCCAAACATGCCCCATCCATCCTCCCAGAGGTTGCATAGCCTGCTGGATGCCCAGGCCGTGAGGAACGAGAAAGTCACAGACCTTGGCATGGAGCCGGGGTGTGGAGAGGGGCCAATGGGATAACCATCAATAATAGCCAGCATTAATTATGCCATCATTCACCATCAATAATTAATGTGTATTAATGTGTGGCTCATTCACCATGAATAAAAACGGAGAGGTGCTAGCGGCTAGTGGGATATGGACGTATGTCAATCATCACTCTGAATTACCGACCATCCACATATAAGCAGTAGTTCACTCAGTAGTTTATGAGGAAACACTGGCTGCCCAATCACTGTAAAGTCAGCCATGGACAAGAATCAAGAGGGGAAAGGAAAGCCCAGTCCACTGGCAACAAACCCAAAGCCCAAAGCAGTCCAAAATCTTGACCAATTTTCAGGCCAGAAACCTTCTGGTTGAAACCCAGGGAATATTCCCGTCCCACCTGCAATGGGTGGAACATAAGCCTGCCACACATGTGAGGATCATCCGAATAATTCGCCAAATGCGGGATCCTCTTCGAGTCCTCCTGTGCCACTGGTAAACCGAAAATGACTACAAATCTGGTGGATCATTGGTACCCCCCCATGTCATGTTTCGAGGGTGTCCTCCATGACCGCTCCTAGTCCACCTATATTTGTGGGTCTTGTGCTGCATCCCAATGATCCAAATGGCTGGTTGATCCCAGTTACGACTGTGGGCTCACTATTGTGGCGCGAACACGGATTATTTACACATGTCAATGTCTTATTTCTTGGGGGCCTTGGGACTTGTCTTATTATTGGGATCAACTCCCAAGCCTATCATGCCCATCCTCCTCTCCAAAAATTATGAGTTGCTTCCAAAAAATGGAGAGTGTCTCTGATTATTCCACATATAAACCGCATAAACATCATAAACGGATCATAAACCCACATCTTTCAGATCCCAATCCCCAACATTCCCCAACCCCCCGTCCTTGGTGCGCGCCAACACACTATGCACGGCCCAGCTCCACCGAGGCGCGCCCAACTTCTCCAGATCCGCGCCGCGCTGCGACATCAAACGCTTGGCCTCGCTTTGCGCCTCCTCCCAGCCCTTGCGGTAGCGTTCCATCAAGGCTTCAGTGGCCTGGCGCGCCGTAGCCGGTACCCAGTATCAGTCGAAAAAAGACATCATATCGATAAGGTTAAAACACCGAGCCTTTTCCCAGGCATTTTGAAACCTGACATATCTGATACATCTGAGATATTCTGGTATATCTGAGATATTCTGGTATATGATTGCAACCCAAGAAGTGTGCAGCCACCCATTTGGGTCCTCCAATTTGTCCGTCAAGGCATCCGCATGAGTCTTCTCTTCGGATTCCGCGAGCTGCTCCTGGCGGAAGGGTGGTTAACGTGAACCGTCAATGGTGGTTGATCCACTATTTTTAATAATGAATGGGAATTCTCAATTGATTTACAATGTTTACCACTAATTGATCAATGGAAAATGATGTATTTTAATTAGTTTAAGGTGTGAATTAACATCACCTTTAGCGGGGGTGAACCCATATCTAACCACCAAAAAATGTATTTTTACCATGCAAATGGTGACATGTGACGACCCCTGCAGCAAACAATGGCAACAAAATCACACCAACACCACGATAATTCAAATTGAATATGTACATGTAGCATGTTCATTCATGTTCCTTCATACCACAGCATTGATGGCCGAAACTTACCAGAACAAAGCTGAAATTAGTCACCAAACAACAGAAAGCGGGAAACAACCTTCCCTTTCCCCCTCCAAAAATATTTTTCGGTAAAAAAAAATCAATTTCCAGTTCCAGGCAGCCCAGGCATCCTTCAAGTGTTGCAACTCTTCCTGCAAGCTCTTCACCAGCGCATCTTTATCCACCGCCGAGGCGGGTTTCGCCTTGATTTTGATGTTCTTCACCGTCGAGGCGAAGGTCAAGGTGCTGTAGCTCTCCTCGAAATTCGCCAAGGCTGGGCTTAAGGTGCCGATCATGGAGGTCTTGCTGTTGCCACTCAAGGCATTGGAGAGCAGCAGCGTCAACTTGGAATTCCTGCGAGATTTTTTGTTGGTCAAATTTCGGGGGTGAAATGGGGGATCCCGAAGTCACCATGGTGTTCAATACTAAAACGGACTAATTTGGATGATTTGAGGCTACACCAGTTCAGGAAACCGCCTTTTGGTGGTTGATTTTCCCAGCTATAAACCTCCAGTTGGTTCGTGGATTTCCAATTCCCATGTTTGATACCCGGAGGGGAACGGAACCCAGGCTAAGTGAAACGTGGGAAGGATGAAACTTCACCTGATGCCTGATAGTAGATCCTGACACAAATTGAGACATTTCAAAACATCTTCTTTAGACAACCTTTAACCATTCAATATCCTCAAGCATCATTATTCCTCTTCCACCCATGCCACTTAAATCTCCACTACTGATGGCTGTAGCCCGTTCTTCCCATCATATCACATCTAATACATCCCCAAAATATCCCAAAATAATCAAGTGTAATGTGCCTTTTCCTCTCACTTCATGGATCCAAGAAATGTAACGTCAAAACATTATTTGCTTGATTGTATTCATGTTTGTAACTACATCTCATGTTTATATGGATCTCAATAGCTGGCAAATGCGCGTTCCTTCTGCAAATTCGGATAAGTAGGTTTTGATCCATAATACCCATATGTGTATTTTGCCAGTGCATGCAAACGCTTGAGCTGGGTACTATATATATATGTATATATATATACCATGATATAATTATATATACATATATATATATATACAAATATATATATATACAAATATATATATATACAAATATATATATATATATGTGTGTGTGTGCGCGTGTGTAACATGTATGATATTCATGTCCATATTCCACCCACACCAAAAGCTCCCCTCCTGAAACGCGACATCAGATTCGTGGCCGCCGCCCCAGGGGCCATGCTCTTGCGGCTATCCGGCTTGGCTAAGGCTTGGATACAGCTGGCCAGCCACATCAAGCCTGGCTGAAGACTCCCATGGTCCAAGAAATGGGATGGGTATGGATGGCTTGAATCATTTGAAGGGGAGAGTTGTGGAACACTGTCCCTTGAAAACCGGTCTTCTTTAACCCCCGAAAAAAGGTTTTAATAAAAGGTGTCCGGCAGATGTGTTTGTATTGAACCAAGTCTGGGACCCTAAAAATGGGGAAGGAACCAAGAAAAAGGGAATGTAATGAGCATATAGTCTGTACTGAAATTTCATGGTGATAATATGATACCAGTAGTACCGCGCAAAGCGGTGAGCGGAAGCTTCAACGATAGGAAACCTAAAGGAGAGGTGAATTGTTGTAATTCATGGATGGCAGAGCGAACTGATGGACCGAAAGGTGGTTGAGGCTCTGAATCTCTCTCTCTCTCTCTCCAACTTGGGTGTAACACTGAACAAGACCCAACTTCAACTTCTCAAATATTGGGAAGTTGATATATAGGAGTATAAGATAGCAAAGGACAGTATGAGTATAATTTAATGCAATATGATAGGCCCTCCGGAAATGGAAAACCCACCATTTATAGATGATGCCTCTATTTTTAGGGGATGTTCCATTGCCATGTTTGATTACCAAAGGGTGTTCATTATTTCCAGCAGAGTCATGGTGTTTGCATCTCCTTGGCTATTTAAATTTAAGGAGTGATGTGATGTGGGCCTTCCCAATTCATGATCTTCCTCTTGATCCTCAAGGTGTGAAACTGCATGAAATGCACTAAACATCCCCAGTACTAGGCCAGCAACTCTGGTTGATGAAGGTAAGCTCCACGAGTCTCTCGCCAGATACCTGCACGCAGGCAGTAAGCAGCATCAAACCATGGCACCCGGCATGAGCAGCGACAGTTCAAGCCATTCGAAGAAGCAAATGATCCATCTTGTTCTGCTATTTCAACCAGAGAGATGCCTTTTTTCGTGAAAGTGTCATCCCAAAAAGCTAATTCGTCAACAGTTCCTCCAACAGACCATCAATCGAATCTCTTGGTACACCCAGACTTGTTCGTGGGAATTGTTTAAAGGAAACCCCACATTCCTGTCATTTGGCTTTGTGTCAACAAAATGGTGCTCTAAATTCCACTTGGTTATCATCATTTTCCCCTCTAAATCTCTAAAAGCTATCAAAATCATTCAAAATCACATTTTTTGAGGGGGTAATCCACCCGATTCTTTCCCCAACATCCCTTGAGCCCACCCCTCCGTGGCACCTTGGTGGTCTTCTCGTTCTCCCGCCCTGCCAAGTCCACGAAAAAGGCCTCCGAAGTGACGATGGTGTTGTCCGTGCCGCCCCCTGGACCGCTGGGTCTTGGGAAAGCCATGGGGGGCTTTCCCAAATTTTTAGAAACAGCCCCAGTGGGGTTCCTTTGGGGAACTCCTGGGGGTTCGGAAAATGCCAGAAATATCCAGAAATCACTTGGGGCGCATGTAAAACCCCAATCACTGACGTTATCTTACTAGGTGAACTGGCAAAGATGGGATGGAATCGAGGAATCATCGCAGATCTCCCAGCCATGGGCAAAGAGCCACGACAGAATCACGAGGGACAAACATGTTGGGCAGATCAAGGTGGCAACAACCTGTCCATCTGCCGTCCAAACCCAAGAGAAACCCACCCCAACCACATCCATTCTACCCACTACTTTCCATGCCATCAGGCGGGTGGCGCTTCTCAACCATCAACTTGAAGATGGTGTGTGCTCTCGAACTCTTGGCATTCATTGCAGTTGCTGCAACTGTCTTCATGGTATTGCCGTACCTCAAAGGTCGCAAGCGCAAGGGTCAGGTTGAATAACCCCATTGAGATGAGCAAATGAGCTCTCAAGGTGGCCAGGATCCGAAAATCTCAGACCCCATGGCGCCATGCTCAGTCAAGATGCTCAATGAGTTGCACACAATTCTCAAAGGAGTCCACGGGCTCGTCAGCTACACCTTTCACATACCTGGGCTCTACCCATGGTGGTTGGGCATTGCTGAAAGTGAGTACCCCTTGGGAAAAAAATGGAAAGGAGCCAAGCAACACGCCAAGCTTGGGATGCACGTGCACTTCAGGATGTTGTCGTCCCTTCCCATCCTTTCCATCTTTGCCTCAAATGCGCAGCTTTTTGACATTCGCCCCAAGTGCTGTCCAAAATGATACGTCCCCATACGATTTCAAACTGGGTTTACAATTAATGATTATAAATTGATATAAATTGGTTGGTAACTCCATTCCATCACCAGACACCTCTTGTGATTTGGGGCATCGACAAGCCATGACAAGCCCACGTATAGTTGGCAAGGACCCATGGCCTGTCGCCGGTGCCTGATCTCTGTACCAGGCTGCTGTTCATTGGCACCAGCAGGTCTCTTACCTTTTCGTTGTAGACCTGGCGAGGCCAATCTGGTCCAAACACTACAGCAGCCTCAAATGTGATGGTTGTGCCGACCCGCTGGTTGTGCCAACCCATCCCGCCAAAACAACGACCGAAGGCAGTTAGAAGTAGATTGTAGGAACCAAAAAAGAATGTAGAAAAGTAATTTATCGCTATGTTCATGAGATGTTACTTTTCTATAGCTTTGTGGGGTTGCCATAGACTAAAACTCAACCAGTCAAACCTTGAAGCCGCAGCTGGCTTCTGGGCCTCTAGCATTTGCACCTTGCAGTGCACCTCCGATCCTTCGCTTTCTAAGCGATTCATCCTGAGCGCCAAGCACGACAGCATCCCTACGGCAAGGGGAGCAGTTGGGGTTATAATCCCAAAAGCTGGGATATAACCCCCACAACTATGGTTGTATAACTTGTTCGACTGGAACTGGACCCCCAAGCAGGTATCCATTGCAAATCGCCATAGAGAGAGGGAGGGAGAGCGAGAGCGAGAGCGAGAGAGCATAGAGAGCATGGAGAGCAAGGAGAGCTCGAAAAGTGGGTGGATGCATAGAGAGTAAAGCCGCGATCAATGAATCACGCCGAATCATGCCCCTGCAGCGCTGCAGTTTCCATATTCACGGTCGCTTCGCGACGAAAACCGCCCGCACCAAGTGTAATGGATTCGGGAAGTCTAAGGAGTTGGCGTTTCCGTCAATAACACTCACATATGTTGGAGGATGTTTGGCCATATTGAATGTTTTTTTAGCACTTATTGGGCACTTTTTAGCTCCGTATGAGGCTATCCTGGCCCCATATGGGGGTATGTTGGCCCCATTTGAGGCTATCTTGGCCCCATGTGAGCCTATCTTAGGCTCATGTTGGGCCTATGTTGGGCCTATCTTGACCCATTTTTGGCCTATATTCGCCCAGATCAAGAATTTTGACCCCTTTTGAAAAACATGGAAAAACACAGGATTCTAGAGCAAAAATGCCCACCCCCCAAGCTAAAGCTTATTAGCTATAATGCAATTGCTAACGGTTCACGCAGGCACACAAAAAACGCCTCGGCACCTTCGGTGCGGGCGGATTTTGTTGTGATATATTAGAGCACCCCGGATTAAATATGTAGCGCGGTTGCGACTTCCAACGCAAACTCTCGGCTCTGGGTCCCCTTTGAAATCCACCAAGGCTTCATCAATTCCACCCAGCTTCTCCGTGAACAGATCGTTCATGAGCCGCAACAGCAGGCCCTGCTCCGACACAGGTTCCACCTGAAGAGGGTCTGGTTTTTGGTCAGAGGCAGTTGTTGGAGGTGTTGCTTGCCTCGAGCCAAAATTGTACTGCAATAACTTGGCAATTGCCACATCAAACAAGTATATACACAAACATCTTCCAAGCCCATTTCTTGAGGCTGCATGTGTAGATTTAAGAGCTGCACTCCTCCTTTCTGATGGGCATACACAGCACGCAGCTCGAGGAATTGGGGGCAAACGGCTTGGTGGACCACAGGCCTTGATGATCCTGCAAGCCTTTTCTTATTCACACTTACATTTTTCAGGGTCTCTTCGATTTCAGGATTTTTTCTGCCGCATCCCCCCCCTTTTTTCGGCCTTTCCCATGATGGTGGTGGTCTTTCCCGTGCCAGTCTGCCCATAGCAGAACAAGCAGCTGAAATATCCCGAGAGAACATGATCGACCATCCTCTTGGCCATTAGTTGGTAGCACTTGTCCTGCTGAGGGGGGGTGCCAAGACCCTGGTAAGTCTGGTGTCCAGAAATTCACTGGACTGCGTTGAGATTCGAAGTCAAATGTTGGTCAATGGAAAAGGTAGGATTGAGAGGATAAAAAATGAAACTGGCACCGCCAATCGGGTTAGATCATCTATAAAAACCATCTGTTCTTGGTAATGTCCCAAATATTCTACAAAAACCATTGCAAACCATCCGTCATTTTAATTCACTACATCAAGCTCTTGGAAATTGATCTTGATCAAGGCCTGTCCTGTGACACGTAGCTGGGTGCCATGGGATCGGTGCTATCCATGGCACAGTCGAAGGCAAACTCCGAGACTTTGGCCTTGGCGGATTGCTCCGCCACGCTGGGATCTACCTCGGGAACCAGATGTGGAAGATTCTTCATCCATAGGTACCTAGCATGTGTATTTTGGCCATCTTAATGGGGAAAATGATGATGAGCCATTGGGGCTTGGGAGTTCCCAAGCTTGAGACAACCCCTGGAGTGAATGGTTGATGAAGATTGACGATGGTGGGTGTGAGCGAATCTCTCTCCGTCCTCCTCTCCACGATGCAAAGGAGTCCATAGTCACAAATAACTTAACCAACCATCAGCTGGGGGCTGAACTTTGCACCGGTGGCCAGCGGTTACAAGTGGATGTTGTTGCAATGCCCATCAACTGGGATCGTCTTATGATCCTAACTCTGTGGGCCCACCTTGGAAATCACCACCCGAAATGCCCTGTAAGCTTCCCACCTGCACGACATTGTCAGAAATGGTCAAACACCTCGGCGCATCTTGGAGGGATAGCCACCAACCTGCCCAACTTCTTCCGGGAAACCCATTTCTGATGATCTTTGGGGAGCGGCAGTGCTTACTATCCGGCAGAATGCGGGGTGCTAGCTGTTAACTCATCCCAATAAGGTCACCCGTGCGCTGAGCCAGCGGCTGCTGCTGCCCCTGTTCGTAGGCAACGAACGGTCTCAGCCGGACCCCAACGCAAACAGCCTCTTTGTCTGTCATGGCTGGAGGCCAACAAACAGCAAGGTCATGCACACCTCTTATTGTGTCATACTGTGGCTGGCTGGCTGGAGGCTGTTGTATGTTGTCTCTGTATATGTACACATACCCGACGTCTTTGCATGCTAAACGTTGGGTGTTTCCCTGGGAACTCTATGATCTCTTATGCTGTTGCTTGAACCGTCGGTTCTGCTCCAACAGGTCCTAGTTACAGGTTCTTCTTTTCCCGTTGTCCTGTCATTTGCTGTGTCAATGAAGCCCAAAGGGCTCAAGCCGTGAGCAGCGCGGCGCATCAAGTCTTGATCATCGATGGATGATGGCTGATCCCTCAGCCTCGCAAGGACTCGATGAGGGCAGGAAACATCAATGTCGTCGTCGTCGTCGTCCTCCTCCTCCTCCTCCTCCTCATCCTCCACCTCATCTTCATCCTCATCCTCATCGTTGTCATCATCATCATCATCGTCGTCGTCGTCGTCATCATCCTCCTCATCATCATCATCCTCATCCTCATCCTCATCCTCATCTCCTCCTCATCATCCTCGCCCTCATTCTCCACGAGAAAAACTGCAGCCCGCCCATTCTGTTTGAGTGTCTGATACCCAAAACGGTTGTGCCAGGATCGAGCTGCGAGAAAGCAGTTGGTTCAGCTCGCTCACCGGAGATCTCCATCTCTTGTGCTCCTGCCACATGGCCGGAGCGAACATCCCACAGCTAGTGAGATCCCCATCGGCCCCCACCTCAACTGCCCATGCTTCGAAGGCCGTGTGTAGCAAGGAGTCCTCAGTGCTGCGCACCCCAGCCCTTTTTGGAGCAGGACCAGGATGGCTCCACTAAATATATACAACTAAAGTCAAAGTCTTCACCTAATGCATTCCACAAACTCCATCCTGAATGAGAATAACGAATTCCCTGGGCAATATCTTGGCCTGAAGCACTGAGCAAAATGCTCCTCGCAGACGTTCACCAAACAGCGTGTCCACATTGAGGGGTTCTTACGGTAGGTGTTAAGGCCCGGTGTTCAATCGAGGTGGTACCCGGGGTGTTTTGCATTTTCCCTGTAAATGTCCGCACAAAATGTCTCTTTTGATATGTCCATGTGCATTTCGACTGCGCAGGCTCGCACAAAATGCTTGCTGTGGGATTAGCGTCTGGCATTTTCCTTGTAAATTTCCACACAAAATGCTTCTTGTGACATGTCCATGTGCCTTTCAACTGCGCAGGCTCGCACAAAACGCTGGCCGCGGGAGAACTGCGCAGGCTCGCACAAACGGATATTGCGTGCTTGGCATCCGGCATTTTCCTTGTAAATTTCGACACAAAAAGGCTCTTGTGAAATGCCCGTGTACATTTCGACTGCGCAGGCTCGCACAAAGTGTGCTTCCAGGTCTTGAGCTCGGTCTTCCTCCTCAACATCATCCTCCTCAACATCATCATCTTCCTCCTCCTCCTCCTCCTCCTCATCATCATCATCACCATCATTGTCATCACCGTCATCATCATCATCATCATCATCATCATCAACAACAACATCATCATCATCATCATCACCACCATCATCGTCACTATATATATTACTATCATCACCATAATCATCATCATCATCGTCATCAACATCACCATCATCATCAACGTCATCATCAACATCATTATCAACATCATCATTACCATCATCATCATCATCCTCATCATCATCATCATCATCATCATCGTCATCATCATCAGTATCAGCGCCATCATCATCATCACCATCATCATTATCATCATCATCATCATCATCATCATCATCATCATCATCACCATGATCACGTTCACCAGCATCATCATCATCATCATCATCATCATCATCATCATCACCATGATCATCAAAGTCATCATCATCATCAACAACATCATCATCAACAACATCATCAACAACATCATCATCAGCAGCATCATCATCATCAACAACAACATCATCAACATCATCAACATTATAATACATGATCTTTTCACTCCCCCCACGCTGTTTGGGGTCTCTTGCCTGGATAATTTGATCCTGCCTGTGGTGAAACTATATTTATGTTGGATTCCTAAGTCCGGAGCGGGACTGGCTAGGACCGCATGTATAATCATATATATTTAATTATATTTATATATATATACAGCAGAGGTTTGTCCCTTTGCAGCTGCTGTCGACTTGGACTTCTCTCTACACATCATGTGCGGTGCACGTCGAAGCTGCAAAGCTTGAATTTGGTTGAATACTCTCCTGCAATCTAACACTACCACGGCAATGGGAAATCCCTCACTGGTAAATGATCTATCTAAGTCTTGAATCTAAGTCCTAAAAAATCTTGGTTTTCCTTTCCCAAGTTGGGTTTCTGCTTGGTCCGCTTTCATATTTTTACCCCACCACTGTTGAGAGGCTCTAATGATCTGAGATGGTCCGAGCGACTGCAACTCCTCCCAGCAGGCGGCTCATGATTAGGACAGGAATGGACACACTGTGCACCAGGACGCAGGAAGCACCACAAACCACCTGGGAGGCTGGGCCGGCTGGGCGGGACCATGGGCGGGACCATGTGAGGCCCGGGGTAAAATAGTTCTCTACTACATGTGCTGGCAGCTGCTGACAATAATTTTCACATGGGCCACAGCACCGCTGTCCGTCTTGATCATCTTGATCATGCAAAGCGTGGGATGGCAATCAGTTCAATGAGACCCGTACGCAATAGAGCAAGCAACCACGTCGCTTGCCAATCTTGTCACACAAACGGCCAGCCACTGCTCCCAACGCAGCTGACGAGACAAAGCCAACTGCGAAGAGCTTCGCAATCAAGGGGCTGCCTTCAGACTTTGAACTGAACGCAAAAATCAAGATGGCATTTACTCACATCCATCTCAACTGCTAGCCAAGTAGGGAGCCACCATCCCAAGTACGCATGGAAACATCAAAAATATGCAGCAACCTTCCCAAAAAACCCGCCAAACAGCATAACCTGAAAAGAAGCACCGGGCGAAGATTTGGCCAAGTTTCTTAGACCATTGTCTGCGAAGAGAGAATATAGATATGGTCCTGCATATATTGCAACAGCCTACACGGAAATTCGTGGAGTTTGCGGCTCAACATGCAAAATTGGTGCGCCATTTAGTGCGAGAATTGCCCTATCACTCAGTCAGGCTGCATCCAATCAAGAGCTCTGCAGGTGTTGGGGAACAAGGAAAACATCGATGGTGATAGTAAAACAACCAAATAACCATATAGATCATGTTGGTATATTTTCATGGGAAAATGTGGTTGAAATATGTTGAAATGTCACAGGGAACTGCAACGCGTTTTGTTCCAGGCCTTGCAACCAATCTGAGGCGACGCAGGTGAACCACACGGGCAAAAATCGCGCCTGCATGATGCAACTCCCACTGGTTAAGCCCCCCATGGTTAGTTTGTTGCCTGGATGTTGATCCACTTCCTACTCATTGCTGCAGGATGTGTCAAGATGCTGGGAAAAAAAGAGAGCTGGACGCTGTGGGAGTGCACTTTTTTATTGTTTTTTCAAAACTGTAATCACATTAAAGCTTAAGCTACAGATGAAGCTGTGTTCATGTCCACTAGAGAGCATGTATTGCTTGAAGAAGTGTCCAGGTGTTCACTCTACCTCAGATAAATGCTACTACATTGTCCCTTCAACAAGAGACAATTTCTGCAGAATATGCTAGATGACTTCAACATAATTACAACATCCCCATACCTGCCAACAAATGCAGTATATATTCAAAACAAACATATCCTTCTGAATAAGAGGAATCTTCCTTTGGGGCGACGCAGTGTGTTTTTGCAGGGACAATATCCAAACAAAATATGAAGTATTCCTTGAAAAGTTGCACCATGCCCTTTGAAGGAGGGCAGCGTGCATTTCCAGATGTCTAACCCTCATTTCAAAGGAGCAGTACCCCTTTTAGAAAAGTCAATATTTTTGCATGATATATGCAATATCATTGGCATAGGGCATCCCTTTCAAAAGCGCAATATGTTTGAAACTGTGAGCACTACCACATGCTCAAACAATGTTTGATTGTCTTAAGATTTAAAGATGCACATTCTTCAAATTACAATATGTTTCAAGAGGGGAGCTGCCTACACCAAAGGGTGTTATTCCCAAAATATGGTTCGTTGTCTTGGAAAAATATCACATTATGCATTCAGAAAAATGATGTGCAATTGTGAAAGACATATCTTACGTCTTACGTGCTTACATGTACCATGCGTTCTTCATTTAAGAAAATATATTGTGCAAAGGGCATTGCATGTGCAAGAGGGTTCATTTTTGACATAGAAGTAGACTAAGACATGACCTACTTCAATGGGATGCTCTACCGGGCTCTACCATTTTATAAAAGAAATGCACTTGTTGAAGGAAGCACTCACTTCAAAGAGATGCATCACTCCTTTTCAAGGGAATCTTCCAAAGTGTTTGAACATGTGCTAATCCAAGGGTTTGAGCCAAGAATGTCAATATCAAAAACAGTTCTACGCATTCATTGGCTGCCTATGTTTTTGCATTTGTTCAACACCGTTTTTGAAAGATTACATAAACAAACGAAATTGCCTAATTTGTGTCCCAAGCTCCCCAAGCTTCTTCCAGTGATACCTGCATTTTGCCATAGTTTTTTACATTATTTTCTAATGGAACCACAGGCCCAAAGCAAATAATAAAATCAACCAAAAGCAAGTTTGCAACCCCTAAAGTGGGAGAACTGGCAAAGAGTCCTTCAAAAAACCAACAACGAACCAGAAACCAAAAAACAAAAAAAAATGCACACTCCAAGGGGGGGGAGTAGTGGCAGAGAGTTGGGTCTTGTCATTTTGTTTTTGTTGTGTTCCCGAATAGAATTGAAAATGACAGAAACGGAACAAAGCAACTGCATCGGTCAGTCAGCACCTTTTGTTATGCAGTTGGCTTTGCGGCTGTGTTTCTGTCAGATGCCAATCGCATCCATCACAAATGGTTTCACAGAAACTCTGAAATGCAGTGGTGGTGT